AATCAACTTTCCAAACAAACCCATATAGGATCGGATCAAAATAATTAAAAACTCAAACAAACCAAGTTATGAGTTTCAAGCTTCAAGGTCCTTCAATGGTGGATTTGAATTTTTGTACAATAAAGTCAATCCACCCATAATCACTGAAAAACGCAACAACAATTCACGAAAATCATGAATATCAGGTGATTTTTTTTCGGCATTTGAATAATTAATTGCGGTAACTATTAAAGTCATGAACACAATATAGGAGCAGAGGGTGGTAGAAGAACTTGAAACAGCCTGATAACCATGAGCATAATATTCAGGTGATGATGCGGTGACGCCAGGTGGAGGAACTGGCTGAGGAAAACCGATCACAGGTTGACGTGGTGGGTAACTAGTAGGTGCTTGAAAAGTTCCATATTCATGGGGAGGAGGCGGGTAAATAGTTTGGCCCCATGGATAGGTAGTAAATAGTTTAGGTATGAGTATTTAAGGGTAAATAGTTTGAACTTAATGGGTATAAATTGAGATTTTCTCTTAATTGAATGTACTAATAATGAGGTGTGAGCCTTTTAAGAAACAATGTATACAAGTTGTAAGAAAAGCCTAGACACTTATTAAAAACTGCAAAACATAGAGAATATAATAATAAGTTTTTAATATATTATAACTAGGTAAATATCCCAACCACTAGCCCAAACCAATTTAATTGAAGCCCACTTCTTGATAAGATAGGTGTTAATCTGACAATAATTTGGGCTTTTCTAAGCTAAAATCTAATGTTATTGTGGGATAGTTAGCTATACTTTTCTTGTTTTTTTTTCATTAATAAACACTTGATGATTGTCAACATCTCACTTGAAGTTTCAATCGCAATTTTGTAAATTATATTATGATGATTATAGCACATGCTTTACATATCTTTTTTTAAATCGTGGACATTTTTATAAAAGTTATTTTTTCGTTATACAGAGGGGAACTAGAAATGTAGGAGGGAATTATAAGATGGGGGTCGAACCTTCACTAATAAGGTGACCAACCAACTTAAAAAATTCTCGAAAATCGTGGACAATTCACTTCAAGCTTTAGGGGTATTTTATTATTTACGAAATTAATTCAAATTACTAGAAGCACCGCATAGTTGAAATTTAACTATTCATGAACACTTCGCTTTAGGATTAAGTTAATCTGAATCTTATATAACAATATGTGAAGTTTATTTTTTTTTTATATTTTATCGATTATGACTAATTATTTTGGCAATTGTCAAATTAAAACTTTACATCATCATTCAACTAGTTTATCGCTAAAAGTTATTGAAATTCTGAATTAATGAGACTAAATAATCATCAGTACTAAAATTCATTGAAATTCCAAACTAATCCGACTAAATAATCATCTTTCTCACGAAACTCTTGTGTAATTTGTAATACAAAGTAGGACACTAATGCAATATTAGAGTCCTAGTGGATCCAAGTGCAAAATATTAGCTTAGAACTTACAAAAGTTGGACAAATATAGAGAAATAGAAAAAAAAATTAAAATAAAATAAAATTACATTAGTACTTTATATATAGTTCTGACACGAAAAGTACAAATTTGAAATTCAAAATATAGTAACTTCTAGAATAATAATAAACACAAAAGAAAAAGAAAAAAAGGTAGCGGAAAATTTAAGTCGAAAAAGTCCGAAAGTGGCGTCAAGTTAAAGCCATATGCTCAATTTATAAACCCTACTTCAGCACTTCTCTTTTCTTCACAAATCTACACACAAAACCCTAGCTCTCTCTCTGGAAGCTTACTGCGTTTTTTTCTTCTCTTTCAATATGGTGAGTAAATTTTAATTTCATTCTCTTAATCGCATTTTGTATTAGCTGCAATTTATTTATTCGTATTGAAATGATAATCGACCGCAACTAGTTTAAGATTTAGGTGTTTATATGCTGAAATACTGGTCCTAAATTTGCACGAATTATTTTGTTATTATTGGAATTGAATGAGTTTAAATCTAGCGGAATTTGTGAAGAGAATTTATACACAGATGATATGTGTAATCTACGGCAACTGGTTTGAGATTTGAGGTGTTTATATGCTTCGTTGAGCTTTTTCGTCCAATTATTCCTTTTATTCTGTTTAGAAATACTGGTTCCAGATTTGCTTAAATTATTTATTATTTTATTGAATGTAATGAGTTAGATTATTGTGGAATTTGTATAGAGAATTTATATAATCGATCTTCATATAGATGATATATATAACTGATGGCAACTGGTTTGAGATTAAGGTCTTTATATGCTTCGTTGATTTGTTTTTCAATCCAATTGTTCCTTTTATTCCGTTTAGAAATACTGGTTCCAAATTTGTGTAAATTATTTATTATTATTGGAATGGAATGAGTTAGATATAGTCAAATTTGTATAGAGAATTTATATAATCTATCTTCGTATAGACGATATGTATAATCGATGGCAACTGGTTTGAGATTGAGGAGTTTATATGCTTCGTTGATTTTCTCTGTTAAATTGTTGCTTTTTCTTCTTTTAGAAATTGATTCCAAATTTACACAGGTTACTTTTATTATCATTAGAATGGGATGAGTTTGGATATAAGCGGAATTTGTATAGAGAATATATATAGTTGCAAATTCTATATCAGGATTAGAATGATAATCGATCTTAGTATATGATACATATAATTGACCGTTAAAGGTGTTTATATGCTTTGTTGATTTTTGTCCAATTGTTTCTGTTCTTGTTTTTAAAATTGGTTTTAACTTTGTGATATTTGTGAATTTATTGTTATACAGGCTCTACCAAACCAACAAACTGTAGATTATCCAAGCTTCAAGCTTGTAATCGTGGGCGATGGAGGAACTGGTATGTTTCTATGTTTAGCTGAGATTTGCATTTGTTTCTAGTACTTTTTGTCTCAAAGAGAATGAAACTAACAATATATTGGTGTCGAACCGTTTTTGTTCAAACATATGAAGGTATTCAATATACAAAAAACTGTGACTGACTTTTAAGAAATCATGTGTGAGTGTACAAGTTATATATATGTTAAAAAATTCACGAAAGAAGTAACAAATTACTGTTTCTTCTAACCAAGAAAATAAAATGTGCTATGGTAAAATTTTGAACTTGAACCCATAAAATTCAAATTCTTGGATTCACCTTTGCTCTGGTTCGCTATTGTTGTACTTTTTGTCTTTAAGAGAATGACACTAATGATATTTTGATGTCAAACAGTTCTATTTTTTGCTTTGATTCTTCCAAACAAATAAAAAACAATATTGACTATGAAAATTTTAAACTTTAGTGTAGTGTTTAAACATAAAACTTATTTCATGGAGTATGATATCATCATGTCTAAGTTGCAATGAATAACACCTGGTGTTATTCAGTAGATATTTGTAAATTGAAGTGGATGGTTGTCAGAGGTTATTGGCTTTTGATTCCTTTTGTTTGAGCATCCTGTGGTGGTTCCTGTTGTAATTGGTATACTTTTTCCAGGGAAAACAACTTTTGTCAAGAGGCATCTTACTGGTGAATTCGAGAAGAAATATGAACGTAAGTGTTTGATTTCTTTTACTGTCATAAAGTGTGGTTTTGATAATCTGGATCATTATCTTGTGTTTCAAAATAGGCTTGCTTTTTTCTTGTTTTGTTGTTTTCTCATGAGTTGATTGTTTATTTGTCTTTTCAAACAGCCACTATTGGTGTGGAGGTTCATCCATTAGACTTCTTCACAAATTGCGGGAAAATTCGCTTTTATTGCTGGGATACTGCTGGACAAGAGAAGTTTGGAGGTCTACGGGATGGTTACTAGTAAGTGACTATTGACAGTTGAAAACCTTAGCTTTCCGAAGCCTTTGCTGCTTGAAGTATGTTATTTCTGATTAAAGCTTTTACTGTCAAATCCTAAGAGTGAATGTGTAAAGTTCAAAGCTTCTAGATGGAAAGAATATTGATGTTAGGTTGTTGGTTGTTTTGATGGTGAGTAGTCTAACATGTGATAATCTACAGCAAATGCTTCTATACTTCTACAACGCACTACTTCTATTTCAGACTGGGCTCATTTACTTGCTCTCATCTCTTTTGTCTCACATTTAACATTTGAACATCTACTTTTCTGTTCTTTTTTTTAATGTCTGAACACTTAGATTTACTGTCTAATGATTGCCATTAGTAATCTTGCCTAACCTTTTGGCGACTGTGTTTTGGCTGCTCAAATATCTTTGCATTAATTGTGCAGCATTCATGGGCAATGCGCAATTATCATGTTTGATGTTACAGCCCGTCTGACCTACAAGAATGTTCCTACATGGCATCGAGATCTCTGCAGGTATTATGTAGCTGTCAGCATTACGCTCCATGTAACTTATAATTGAGAATATTGGATTGAATCTGAACTGGCTTTCCTTTCTTTTTAGGGTTTGTGAAAACATCCCCATTGTTCTTTGTGGAAACAAAGTTGATGTCAAGAACAGGCAGGTTAAGGCAAAGCAAGTTACCTTCCACAGGAAGAAAAATTTGCAATACTATGAGATCTCAGCAAAGAGTAACTACAACTTCGAGAAGCCTTTTCTGTACCTTGCCAGAAAGCTTGCTGGGTAATGCTAAATATAATATTGTCTCCTGTTTGTTTGAGGCATACATTCTGGTATTGTATAGAGATCTCATTTTCTTCTTGTCCTACTTATAGGGATGCTAATCTTCACTTTGTGGAATCACCTGCACTTGCTCCCCCAGAAGTACAAATTGACTTGGCTGCACAGCAACTGTAAGATCTCTGTTTCCCTTTGTTTCATTATTTTTTGTTTCTGCTGATAATTAAGGGTTCTATACAACTGAGAACATTGTCAGTGAGTCTGAGAATATCAGATAAGAATACAGATTCATTGCATCTTAATACGTATACTAGAGTTAGACGACAGTCTACAAATATTTATTGCATCTTAATATGTATATCAGAGTTAGAAGACGATCTACAGATATTCATGTATCTTAGTTTGTATATCATAGTTGTACAGATGATTTTGTTCCCAACCCTCCCTTTGCATATTTTAGTAAGAATAAGGATTAGGTTCCTGTTAGGTTAGACCATGCAAGTTGAACCTGTTGATTGCTTGTCTGAGCTTGGAAAGGCTGTCTAGTGCTTGAAATTTTGTTTGCTGTTTGTATGAGTTTTAACCATACTCCTCTTCATATTCAGGCATGAACAAGAGCTTTTGCAAGCCGCTGCTCAGCCACTTCCAGATGACGATGATGAAGCTTTTGAATAGAAGGCATAGCTCAAAGCGAATCAGTTTCACTGTTGCATCTTTCTATATTCCTACTTATATTTTGTATTTCCTATATTAGGCTGTTAGTATTCGACTTTTGAGGATTCATTTGCTGCTTCCTAGTATTATAGATGGGGTACTAGTAGTTATGTTTGTCTGAGAGACCATAAGCCTGTGGTTTATTTGGCTAGATAGAGTGTTATATTCTGATCCTGATGTAAGCATGCACATTCGCGAGCTCGGTTTGAGCTCTTATTATAATGTTACTTGCCTACATATTCGATAGTTTTTCCGCCTGAAGTTATTTGGCATTGTGCTATATTCTACGCTTCCTAGTGCGCCCAAGTCTTCCTCTATAGTTGATGATAACTAGTTGTATTCAATATGCGGCTGGTGTATATATACCTAATTTAAAGTTGAATTTTGGTCAAACGCTGTGGTACAAGTGGAGAAACCACTTTAGCTAATGATTTTTTTTTTCTAGATAAGACATGCAAGGTTGTGTGTCAAAATAAAGGCATCTTGTGTCCCACTCTACCTTAAGAAGGTTATTTAAAGGACTAAGTTGAAATGTTGAAAAACAGAATATTGACAATGAATAGTAGCTTAAGTTGTTATCTCTTTGGACATGAAAAGAAGAGAACTTCCATAGTCGGTGCTGCCGCTTAGAACTCTTTGTTGATAAATCATTCATAGTCCGTGTTGGTGTTGCCACTTAGAACTCTTTGTATATGTCATTCGGCAGGCTTTGTGGTTAATATGCTAAATTTGGAGAGAGCAATAACTTCCTATATTATTCTAACTTCTAACAGATAGAACTACAGTTTTATAGGATTGAATCTAGCTGTTTGGCAGTTTCTCTGCCATAAAATTGCACGTGGATTTGGGAAGATTCTCAAATCCAGATACAACATTCATTTAGTATCAAATACGAAATGGATGAAATCCCTATTCAAGTCGCGGCGGACAGAGTTATTCGGTACTTATGCTGGTCACTGGTGAGAGGTAGCAGGTATCCTTGAGAATTAGTCAGGGTGTACGCAAGTTGGTTCGGACACCATGTTATAAAAATAAAAAAAAAAACCTTCTTTTGCTAAGATTCTTGACACCGTAGAGGCCCATTGCATCTTACCTTCACCCCTAATTTGTTAAGCTATAGATTGACTGTGAATGGAAAAGTTGACCAATACAAGATAGTAACGATTTTGGAACCGGGGCTAATATAACGTCAATGGAACTGATCTATGGAAGAAGTTAAAGCTGGTACTACTCAGCCTAGTGCAAGACTAAACAAAACAGTAGAACAATCTAGTTATGCATCTGGTTTCCTTTTCTTTTTTTTTCTTCTTTTTTTCTAAATATTTTACGTTTCCGGTATTGGAATTCTACTCATCCGACTAATCTGGATTTGCGCTGAGTAGGTCCACCAAGACGGTTAAAGCATTGTCTATCAATAAGTTCTTAGTTCCCAGAATTTGATCTCGAGACTTCTAATGTATAGAACATCAAAATTAAGCGTTTAATTTGTTGTTGAAACTTGCTTTTGCTGCCGTGCATTTCTTTGACTGATTTGCTCAAATTGTGGCCTTATATTTAGAATTTGGCAACTTTTCCAAAATAAGACTAGTGCTCTGAAATTCGAACATGGCCACTAGGTCTAAAATTCATAACTAATATCCAGACGTGAAAATAGCACGGGCTAACAGTTTTCCGATTGGTAATTGAAAAATAGACAGCGTTTGCAAAGCTATTAAAAAATAGCCACTATTTTGACGCAACACGGAAAGTTTCAGCATAATATAGTAGAGATTGGTGCACATGTGTATGAACTTCCAGTATATTATGTTGGAACTCCAACACACGGAAAGTTCCAGCATAATATACTGGAGATTGGAGCACCTGTGTATGAACTTCCAGCATGTTATGTTGGACCATGATATTATGCTGGAACTCCATTATATTATGCTGGAAGTCCACTATATTAAACTCGAACTCCAGTATATTATGCTGGAATATTTTTCGGATTTTGAACGCTGTTTTCGTTCAGAGTTATCTTTACATGAAAAGTGGCTAAATTTTAATTATTTTTGAAACTGTGGCTATTTTTCAATTACCAGTAGTAATCTGACTATTTTTGAATTTCATCCCATCCAAACTGCGGGTCAAATTTTGGAAAAAAAGACCAACTTTTATACAAGGCTACAAAAGTAGCCGCCTAGTGTTAATAACACTAATTTCTTTTACAAGAAAGTTTGCTAGATTGTTCTAGAACTAAATTAAATGGCCATATATCCAACCGCTTAAACTAAAAATAATCGACAATTATAATAATATAGCTCCCGTTTGGCCATAAATTTTGGCAATTTTTTTTCAAATTTTTTTGAAAATATTGTTTGTTCATAGAACATGATCAGTTTTTTGAAAAAAAATGAAATTTTCTTTTCAAGTTCTTAAAAGCTGGTTTAAGGAAGTTTTTGGATAAAAAATTTTCTTCCGCTCAAAAAACCTCAATTTTTTCTTCAAATAAAAATTATGTGCAAAAACGCAATCTCAACTTCCAAAAATTATTTTTCAACACAAGATGAAAAACTTTTTTTTCAAGTTTCAACCAAATTTATGTCCAAACGCTAGTTCGGTGTATTCCCATAAATGGGGTCTGGAGAGGGTAGTGTGTATGCAGACCTTACCCCTACCTTGTGGAAGCAAATAGGCTAAACTAAAAATAGCCGATAAATGTATAATATATGCATGTATATGTGTACAATCGTGTATAATTAATGTATAATTTATGTATACCGACTAAAAAGAGTAAACAATGGATCCAACTAATTATTGGTGTTTTAACTATGGGGAATATTGTGAAGGTCGCCTTATGCCGAAAGGGGAGGGGAATAATAATCCCTTAGGAGATGGCCCAGTTGGTTTGGAGGGCGGTCATCCATATAGATGACCTGGGACCGAACCCCCCTCAATGCCTTATGGATCGAGTCTTTCGCATAGTGTTTGCCTAGTGCGGTTTACATCCCATGTGTGGTTTGCAGGCTATTACACAGTGGGAGGTTTACCCAGTGCGCACAGAGTGCTCACCACAGAGTACTCATCCGAAGGGCAAAGGCTATAGCGACTGCGGGTTTTCCCGAGGTTCAAAAAAAAAAACTATGGGGAATATGGGCCCTGCAGTTATCGTTGGATTTATGGATTCTGTTATGGAGTGAGTTTGGCCTTGTCTATGATTTTCTGGGCCATGCCCCAAAGGTGGGTTCTTGATAAGATTTTGTGGTTAGTAAGAAGCAAAAAGCTTTCATTTGTCCCACAAAAGTCCAAAACACAAAGCATGCATATGGCTCCTTTACTTCTTGCATTAGATCCCAAGTTTGTTAATAAGATTTCCAACATTTCAAGATAAAATCTTAATTGAGCCTCAATCAAGAACCTCTTGCTTTGAAGTTACATTTCAGCTACCAACTAGAAAGACAAATAGTCTTTAGACATGTAACAATTCAGGTTCATGAGAAGATTGAACTGAGATGAGGTAATCTCGATCTTTTGGGGAAAACGATTCATAAGCCTTCAACAGGATAAGAAACTTGAGAGGATCGAAGAGCTTCATTTTGTTGGGCCTCTATTGTGGGACACCTTTGTAAAAGCCCAAAACTCATATCCCCAAGTAAAATGTGACGTATCGTCCGTTCTATATTATTCTTTTTGGTCCATTCTAAAAATATTGACATATTTTTCTATTTTGAATGGTTCAGTCGGCTAGTTTCCATTCTTGATTAGTCAAATATCGTCATATCATATGGAAAAAAAAGGTGTAACAGTCACCAAAGTATCTTTTGCACTACGGAGTCAAAATTTTAATTAATCGGACAGTAAATCACTGCACCCACTACTCCTTTGTGGAAATGGATTCAAACTAGAAGAATCAATCCAATTAGCTGTCCACCTAATATATATATATATATATATATATATATATATATATATATATATATGTATATATATATATATATGTATATATTCTGGCTTGAAAAATAAATATTAAATTTGGCCGGCTATATGTATAACAATCCCTTCAAACTAGAGGACGGGAGGCACACACAAACATGTATATATAATTTTTTATTTTTCTAAAAAAAAAAAAACCCACTGTTTTCCTTTCTTCTTCTTCTTTCTATTTAAACAAACTTGAATGAAAACAAAACAGACATGTATTAAAAGGAGATGTCTGGTTTATTTGTCTAGTCCAAGTTTAAACATTGAAACAAAGGTTCACAAAATTACAAATGATCTATTTAAGTAGTTGGGGTGCACCCTGTTCACCTTATTAACTTTGTGCCAATAGATGCGTCTCTATCCATGTTGGTTCAAACAGCACCAAAAAATTAAGCCCATTCCCTATTTTCCCCACCCCACCCCACCCTACCCTACCCTACCCCATACTTGCACCCTATGGCCATTTTTGTGGCCATTTTTTAAATTATGTCGTCGTTAGTTGAGTTAGCTAAATTTCATCTTTAAATTTAGTTGGATAAATTTTTATTTTACAAATAATTATTTACCCACTAAGATAACAATGATATAATAGATAGTAGACTTAAAAAAGGCCATTTTTGCAAATGCTCCACCACTACCCTCCATATTTTCATTGTATGGCCTTTTTTAAGGTCACACTTTATGTTCTCTCCCCAAGAGAACAATGAGCTAAATTTCGTCTTTAAAAGTAGTTAGATGAATTTTTATTTTATAAACAAATTTACCCTTTGAGCTTATATAGACACAATAGTAAAAAAAAGGTAGTCTGGTACACAAATATCTTATATTCATACAGAATCTGGGGGAAGGACGACATGTCTAGGAGTGTGATGTAGATAGCCTACCCTAATGCAAGCATTAATGACTACTTTTACGGCTAGAGCACGTAACCTATAGGTCACATGGAGATAACTTTATCATTGCTCCAAGGCTCAAATTTAATATACAGTCAGACATCTCTATAACAGCCGCGTTTGTTCCGATATTTCTTTAACACTATAGTGAAGTGTTGTTATAGAGGACATAATATAACATAAAATAACAGATTGGTTCCGAGAAAACTTGACTTTTACGGTGAATGACTATTATATATGGATACTGTTATAAAGGGGACTGAACCGTAGATATAATAGAAGACTTTAAAAAAAGCCATTTTTGCAAATGTCCCACTCTACCCCCACTTATTTACTGGACTTAGTACACTGTGTATTGTCCACTATACCATCCCCATCATTCCAACCCAAAAGCAGGTGTA